TTTTTATTTTCTTTCGGTTCTATATTGCTGACAGCGCTGTGACAGCCAATGATGTGCCTGCCTTTAGGTGAAAACCGCAAGGTAGGCACATCACTGGCGCCACGCATGCTCAGATGTGCTGTATTTGCGACTACAGATGTCGCTCGTGCTGTTCTCAGCGCAACGCTCCGTTGTTATAGACATGAGAGTTGTGCACTGTAAGTGGCCCAGTGCACCGAAAGGTTGTACAGCGCTTCCCATTGCGGCATACCTCAGAGTTATCAGGAGAGCGTTTGGTGGTTCGTGTGGGCAATCATCACTTGTTTTTACCTCCGATTTTTTTTCCGAAGTTGATATATTCGCAAACCAAAACGAAGGAGATCAAGTGCAGGTGATAGCTTGAAAATATGTTAGCCTTGGTGCAACTGTACAACTTTAGCTTTGTGATGAGCTCCCGTGGTGTAGCTATACTGACCATAACAGAAGCTTATTATTTTCATTTCACGTGTATTTTCAGCAACGAGGTTCTCCTTTCTACCGGAATACCACCTGAGATTATGCCTTAATTGTGATGCGAATGGATGTCTGTTGAGGCTGTTCTGTTGAAATTATGCACGTGACTGCAGCAGCCAACTTAGTCCTCCAGCTTTTGCTCGCACCAGTGATAACGCTGGAATGTTTCCCAGCTAATGAGAAGGCTAACATCCGAAACGCCTCTACCCATGCAGCACAACTTCTTTTCATGGGTACAAGTTCACCTAATAAACCAGGGGCCGAATTCACAAAGCTTTCTCTTGGCTACGCATTTTCTTAGCCAAGAATTCTCTTATCTAGAGGGATAACAATAGCGCGGGTACGATTTTAACTTATTGGGCACTTCAGAGGGCGAGGAGGACACACGATAGCTGATAAAACGACAAGGAAAGAAAGAAGTGTGTGCCGATAAAATCAAGGTAGCACGCAAAGCGTCTAGCATCGAGAGTATACGATGATAACCAATGACTTGCTGCATCTACGTTTCAGTTCCGCGAGCGTCTGCTACAGCGCTTACGGGATGCCGCGTACGTTGCAATAGACGTTTTGGTGTGCTGTGCAAAGCCAACCACTCGCCTTTCATCAACTACTGTAGCTTAAAAAGAAATTGCTTGATGGCCTCACGCCATCGAGCAATCCATGCAATATCTCGCCAAGTATAAGTAAACAACGCTCCAGGTGCACCACATCAATGAAACCACGCATAAATCGATGCATGCAATGTTTGAAAATGTGCCTCAAATGTCTTCTCTTGTTTAACGCAACCAGTTACTTTACGTTTAATGAAGCTGCCCTGCTACTTAACTAATCCAGTGTAATCGAGCACTGTATAGAGGTGAACGTAGGAATGTTTTGTACCTAGACGTAAAAAGTGGCCTTTCTTACAATATTCTTAATACAAGACACAAGAGCGACTTTTGTGCCAGCGGACGAATTATGCAGAAATAGAGAACAGCAGTAATCAAATAAAATTGGGAGCGGAATATCGCTGGTTCCATGCACCGCAGCATTTTTATAAAGCTGGAATGCGAGAAAGAGCATACGCTTACGCTTAGATATGTGTCTACGTAAAACAAGGAAGACTCGTCAGGAGGTGTTTCAGTGCTAATGCTTTTCACAAAACACGGTGCAAATATTTCGTCCAGCATTGTTTGAGTGAGCAAACAAAGCAAGGGGCGTGTATACGAGTCTTGAAGTCAAGAGACGTTATCACACGTGCAAAAAGTACGAAAAGAGAGAGATAGAGAGACTCTCGTTTTGTCTCGACGAAAGCTGGAAATCGATAGATAATAAAGACATTTTTCTGGCCCAGCAGACGTCAGGGAAAGTTTCCGTAAAGCAGCGTCAGATGGTTGGAGAGCATAAAAAAGCAGAGTACGCGTTTTTTGGTAGCGACAGGAACACACAAAGCGAGATGAAGTGTGACTTTCTTTAGATGTGAGAAAATCAATGCTAATTAGGAGAGTTGTAAGTTAATGAGCCAAATCTTCCTTATAAAACGAGAATGAAGACAAACTCACTATTCATCTAGTGAAAGTGACACTAGTCACAGTGAATTCATAACAATTGATTAGCGTTGTTGCCGGCCGATATATATTTTCATTTTTTTATTTATATTTGGCAAAATATGAGAAGGTAGCGTACGTTACAGCCGGCTTTCCCATCACCATGACAGTAATGTACAAGATAAATAGTGCACTGTTACACAGCCACAAGTGGCAGTTTCTGTCTTCTAGTAACCTTGGGCAAACGCATTATAGCTATCTATTCTATTTTTGACCAAGTTTCACCACACGTTTTTGCATTTCGCGTCATTCGAAGCATTGAAGATATATCAGCAATAAGATGAACACAAGCACTGCTGCAATGGACGAGCGGTTACAGTGCTCAGCTACAATCTAGGAGGTTCTGGGCTCGATCCGCAGTGTAACCGAGCACTTTTTTCAGAGGTTTCCCGGCCTGAGATTATGCGCGGCAGCGGGTACTACTTTTTTGAGAAAGTGGCTCTCGCACCTTCTTCTTTCACGCCCCTTTTGACCCAAAAGCGCTGTATCATGCTCCTTCATAAATTACATAACTCAGGGTTCATAATTTTTCCCTCCATCCTCTCTTATTTCAAAAGTGCCCAGTGCTGAAATACCAATATCATACATGGCATATTACTTTTCACGTGTTTAGATATTCGACCAGCGATCGGTCGTTACGGTGTTTTGAAGAAAATCTACACATGCAGCGAGCTAATTCCTTGCGGCCAAGTTCACTGCTTTTGTCGGGACATGTTTTCGTGCTAATTTGGCGGGCATCATTACATGCAGCAAGGCCAACGAGCACGAACAGTTAGAGAAGACACAGAGTGATTAGTTTGTGTCTTCTCTCCTGCTATCTGTCATGCTGTGCGCGTCAGTGTAATGTCGCTCTCAATGATTAAAAATGAACTATAGCAGGTAATGAGTTGTTCTGCTGAGAGGGTCCTCTATTGTCCAGAACGGAACAGAACAATGGCAATTTGATTTGTGTCATAGAGAGATACTCTGCTTTCGGTTACTACAACTAATGTTTAAACCGCAGTTTATTTTTTATTAACAACAGTTCCAGTACAGATGAAAGGTGCATGGACAAAATTCGTGTATTCAGCTTGACTAGGTTTGTGACCTTAATAGTAATTGCCAACCAGCCTTACAATGTGCATAAATATCACACACATATACAACCACGCGTGATAGCTTGCTTATTACCGAATAAAATTGATATGTTGAAATCGACGTAGTCGACCTACGCAATGTGTGCAAGATATGCCATGTAGAGTAGCCATGCTCTAAACTAATCTTCGCTCGTTGGTTCCATTTTACTGTACGTTGGCAAATGAAACTTATTCGAATGCACATATTTTGTGTAAGATTACATTTATTTTTAGGCAGTAAAAACAGATTTAAACATACAATGGCTCGGATTCTCATTTAGAAGATACATAAATACATACATACATACATACATACATATATACATACATACATACAAACATACATACACAGAGGTGTAAATATTAGGATGAATAACTAGAAAACAACATTTCTAATACACTCATTTTGAATATGCAGAAAGGAACTTACAAGAGAAATCCACCAGCAGTGTTGTGTCTGAACTTGGTGTTTCTCGAACCATCTCGGAAAAGCTTGATGCATAGTTTCTGTTTCTTACAAAAACAAGCAGTTTTTATAAGAAACACTAGAATAAAGTCCTTGACAACTTCATGCTAAAGAAAAGGGCTATGCATCAATATTTCATACATGTCTGCAATATTACTCTGTTTATTTACATAGCTTGGCTCATTCCCAACACACTAACAAAGCATGTTAGGACACTTGGGCTGAAAAGCGGCACAGCGCAAAGAAATTCTAGACAATACATGAATACTACACTTCTAAGCTACTACGCTCCTTGGTGCAAACAGTGTTTATATTGACAGCTATAGACCCTATTTTGTTCCCTGAAAACACTCCTCTAAAAGACTTCAAAGTTTTCACATCAACACAATTCCCATACAGCGGTCTGTTAGTCTGCTTGAAAAAAATTCAGCTCACTGATGGGCAAAGACTGTACACTTACTATATATGCAGGTCTTGCTGCTGGCCTCAACTGCGATGTTGCTCAGCAGATATGTGGAAAATAAAAACTCATACTATTCCACTGCAAAGTAATTATGTGTCATTTGCTTGAAACAGGGACCACAATAAAAGAACATAACAACATTTACCTTCACACAGTTAAAAAAATGTAAACACATTTCCATAAAGTTTTCACAGTTCATCTGAGGATAGTAATAATGGTTGTAAGCACATTGTTACTTCCACTAACAAACTATTTTAAGAGTATACCAGTACTTTTGTGGGGCTTAACAATTGCACAGGCGCCTAGAAAATGATAAGTAAGTGCATGGTATACCTACCTATAAATAAAAATAAATACTTTGATTTCTAGTTTGAGTAGAGCTGCATAGATGATAAGTCACTTGCATAGTACTCAATTACATTATGAACAAACCTATCCAAGCAAAGTATACATTAAAATGTTACACTTACACAGTAGAAACAGAGAAGTAGACTGTTCAAGGATGGACAGACAGTGGAATAACAATACACAAGCACTAAAATATACTGTTAAGATATACTAGGAGTAGTGATGATTCTCTTCCTTCCAAATAAAATAATCCACATACATTCTCTTCCCACAGCTTATACACTCATGGCATCATTGATGCTATTCAAATGTGTGTACACTGAAGGAATACATCGACTAAGTACAAGCTTACCGCATCCATGGCTTTACTTCTTGTACTACAAAGAATGCAAACACAGTTACCATTGCCGACCATGGATGCTGTGACAGTTAAATGCAGAGACATGAACACACATGTTAAAAACTTTAGCTCAAAAGTATTTGCCCACTAACACTACAGCAGCCATTAATTTAGTGTCATAGTTTGGTATCTTCCATGCAAAATTTAATTAATTTGTAATGCAAGCAAAAAAAAACTGCTGAATAATGCACTGCTAAAAAGTTAAGCTGCAGCTGCGCAGAATGTTACTACGTATACAATTCAAACTGCTCCTGACATCACAATGTGCTCTTTCTGCTGTCGTAAACTTTGAGCAGGAGAATAGTCACTGGCAGTCCCTTTATACTTTTTGGTCTTCTGTGCTCTGTTCTTGATACACTGTACATGATGGTGGAGCACTGGATCCCTTGCTAGTGCTAGAACTTAGAAAAGTACAGATCATTATTACAACCATGCTACATGAAAAAGTGTACAGTTGTTAAATATGTGCTCATATTTACAGATGTCGTAATTTCCGAAGCTCATGACAAGCCTCAACACACACACAAACAGTGAAGACTGAAAATATATTTTATTATAATGCAATAGCAAAACTACAATGTTATAGATGAAGGCCTGAAACTTCTGCTAGGCATAAAAAGCCGATGAAGTTTCTTCTATTTCAACTTCACACTAGGTGCGAGAAGCACACCACAAATAAATTCACTAAGAAACACAAGTTAGACTGCATTACAACACAACAGCCAATGTTCATAACATTAGGGCTGTCTAACCTAGCCAGCTCACTATACCACGTATAGAAGCAAATGGGAAGTCTAGAAGACACAAAGCACTTGTGGATTATGAGTGTGTTTGTTGCTGATATCTATTATTCTAAAAGAAGAAAACCTTTCGAAAATGCACTTCCTCAGGGGAAATATTCACACGCAACAAACGCGACGGGTATCTACAGGTGCCCACGTTAAAGAACCCCAGGTGGTTGAAATTTCCGGAGCCCTCCACTACGGCGTCTCTTATATTCATATGGTGGTTTGGGACGTTAAACCCCACAAGTTAATCAATCAGTCCTACAGGTTCCACCAACACTCACCTTTATTGTTGATACCAGTGTCTTGCCGGATGAATATGCTGCGTCCTGTACAGAATACCGAAGGAGCGCTCCGTGACTTGGCTTGCATGGTTGCTGGCTGCATCGCACTGCTGCTGAAGTAGGCTAGCTACAGACAGAGAGATGAGGAACCATGGCTTTGAAACACACTGAACGTCACCTTTAGAGATCAACTATTGCTAATTAGGTCAGGTAAAATTTGTAGAAAAACATATCACTACGCAATCGTGATGAACATGTTCGGCTGAAACACAACTAGCCACAGCACTGAGAGAGAAAAAGCTACATGAAGTAAAAGATGCAGTTACTGGCCCTATGTCGTCTGAGGCTTGTTCAATTGGTCTTTCTCCTTGCATGCTGTGAACATCCAGACACTTTTTAAGCACTTGCTATTTCCTTCCAGAGCACTTGATCCACAGAGAGAGTCACAAGCTCGAGAGCTCAAAAAGGAATCAAAGTATTTGTGCTCGTTTGAAAGCACAAGTTTTTGAGTCTCAAATGATGGGAGGTTCATTCTGCAGGTTTTCAACTTTCAACTATTTCAATTATCTTGAAATTTAGTTCTCCAAATGTTGAATAAGAATTATGTGTGAGAATAATACAGGTATCCGCTGCAAGCAACCATGCTTGAGTTTTCAATTTGAGCACTGTAAGTGGTGTTCACTTAATCGTGTGTATTAAAGCAAAACTAATTCTGCAGCCAGCCGTTAGGCAGTTTTGTGCCCTCTAAGCTCTCAAGCAGATCGCAGTCCTTCCAGATGAAGCTGCCATGCATGCTTCCAGGCCACATCCGCTGAATGATAACAGTCACAGCAGTGACATGGACTTGCAGAGTTAGAGAGCACGTGTCCTTCCTATTTTTGTATAGGTGCTCCAAATCATGATGAGGATTCATGTGCCAGTGTGTGCAACCGATGCCTCACAGGACCTTAACAAACCAATCTCTGCCATCTGTGAAGAGCCAAAAACAATATATTTAAAAACAATCATTAAAAGCACTTACTTCGAATTCTTACTTTATGAAGCTATCACTTCGTCAAAGTGACGAAAATCTGCTATAATCACTGAAATAAACTGAAGCCTCATGTAAAATTTACGTACCGCAATATAATTGTCCTAGTGAAGTATAGTGCTACCACAGTGGTAATCATCTATAGAACTAATTTTCCAAAATATCTCAAGTGCAACCTGGCTCCTAGAAAATGAATTCACATAAACTTTCCAACTATCAAACGTGGTAAATCGACAGGCCCAACCTTATAATCAAACAAGAGTTCACTTGTATCAAATGACAAAAACTTCTGATGTATTTGCTTTATAATATATCTATGTATATAGTAGTATAGTAGTAGTAAAATTTTCATGCTTCAACTTACCATAGGGAAACAATACATCTGATGGGCTTAAAAACTTGCACACGTTATAGTACTGCGTGAGTTATAGTACAGGGTAAATTCAGTTCTGCAAGGTGAACTCACCGATGGCAGCATTTAGTAGCCGTCGGTGTCATGAGGAACCAAGAGTGCTCTATGGCCGACAGGTAAAGGACATCTGCAGACTGGAAGCTGCCGGTGACAGCAATGAAGGGCTGGCCAGGTGGGCACGTCCATTGATGTATTGTAAGAACTGGCCATGACCGGCTGTTGTCAAGGCTCTAATGCTGTGAAAAACGATGGCCAGACGAACTCGGAAACCTGTAGTTAGCCGGCACTGGCTTACAACTTCAGCGCGCTGCCAAAGTAGCACGATTCACAACAAAATGTAGCATCTCGCAGCTTCGGTTCATCACATCATGCACTAGGACTATGGTTATCACAAAAACGAGAAGGGACGAGTTAACAAATAAAAGCGCCAAGCTCCACCACCGCGACTTCACAGGGCAAAACAGTTATCAACGCTGTCTTTCAATTTTCGGTCACATGAGCACAGCTTCTTCACAAGTCTTGGAAACGTCAACAAAACACAGCACCACTGTTCACAACTAACATCGTTTCACTCTCGAATACTAGATTGCCCACAAGAAAATAGAAGCGTACAGGCTAACCAGTGGCGAAGCAAGAACCGAATACAGTGCGTAGTTCGTACGTTTCCGTGCGTACTGTACTTGGGGTCACTCAAGTAACGCGCCAAAATGCTGTCAATCCGAAATGTCGCACAGCACCCAACTGAGAGACTGGAAAGTCAAGTGAACGAACTGCTACCGGCACACAAACACACACTGCAGGCTTCTCGAGTGCTAGTTGCCGTTGATAAACCGGCGCCGATCCCCGCTTGATAGCCACACCGACGCACACGCTCCGCTGCGCTTCACCGTACACCATTGCACTGCCGCAGCTTTTCGAACTGCTTACACGCCCCGAAAGAGCTGCCGTAATCACAACACATCCGGTCGAACGCTGAAGTAACTCATGTGAGAAGCGTTTGCTGAAAGTCGCAGTGACCGATATGCTGTTTACGACGCCATGTTGTTTTCGACAACTGCGCAGCACGTAAGAGAGATCTTAGAAAGTACTTGCGCAATTTTCACGGCGTGATGAAACTTGCTCTTATGTGTGAGGGGGATGATATGACGAACACGACAGGCGTGCCAGATGACAGAACTGTTTTGGCAACGTCACGGAGTGAGCTGATGTAGAGGGTGTTGCTTCACAACCAATCACAAGCTGTGCATGTCGGCCAAGTCGGCGTCTGGTCGCGTTTTTCGTCTGCTTCGATCAGAGCATGCGACAGGGGATTCGCCTTTGCCACGCTAATATTGTCAGGTCAGGTGGTCGCTGCGTCGCACAAAATTCATGTCAGTGGCTCCCCCTACATTTTATTGATGTTCGTGCGCTAAGTTGAACGACTGGTAATTCTCGCAGGGATCAATTCAGCCAAGGTTTTCTCCAAAATCGTGAGGGTTTGCATATTTCCGGTGTCACACAAGGTTAGTAGGGCCATTTTATTCCGACTGCCCGCCATATTATCACGGTTCATATTGGTTTCTGAACAGTGCAGGGGAAAATGCTTGATTTGTTTGTAGTTTAATGCGTAATCACGCGCACCCCTAATACGCTTCGATTTACAAAGTACGCGCTGTTCCAGATCATCCCAAAGTGTATCGACAGCTGTATTTCAGAAATCGCACCCACTGGACAGTTAGAGTCAATCAAAGTACACTAGAGCACAAGCTTTATGAACCACTGACTGAAAAGTTCTTCTCATTTTTATTTCCAATAGCGTGCAAGGAATGTGCTCCCATTAATCTCTTTGGTGGTAATTTCTACCAATGAGGCAAGGATCTCGATTCATACTTTTATATGGATGAGATGGGGCGCAATACAACAACATAACAAATAAGCTTGATCCTATGCCGTGCCACGTTCGAATGCACTGACCATTGGCGTAGCACATTGGTTTTTATCCAACCACAAATCGTTACATGCACAATTTTACGCCATTGACGCCCAATAGAATTCTTCAATAAGTGAAACTTCGAACTGGTGGTTGTCAACGCAATCCACTGCGTACAAGGGAAACAACTAGCGAAATTCAAAGCACCGAAAGAAATAAATACGCACCAGCAGACATCAGGCAGTTCTTCATGGGCGTGACCTAACTCAAAACCAGCCAGGGCACCAAAGTATACCACCGCGGCGGCAGGTTCTAAGTACCCACATTGTTCCTAAGAGTGGTCCAGACCACTCTTAGGATTTTCTCTCAGCCACGCTGTTTTTACGCACAATTTCGCTTCGTGAATCCACTTACGAGCACTTTTCAGTGACGTAAGCAAACATAGCAACTGCATCACCATCGCTGACATGTTCCCGGGCAGTCACAGCGCGCTTTATTGCAGCGGCCGTTGTGACAACGATGGCCTCTTACGACGTTTTGTTTTCGTTTCGTGAATCGACTTACGCAACAAAATTTCTGTTGCGCTAAAATGTTTCGTAAGTGAGTTTTGTGAATTAGGCCCTGTTGTATTTTTTTACGTGACAGTCAGAACTCTGTGATAATATTGGAACTGCTTAGTCAAAGCACGCAAACACTTATTGGGATAATTATTCTGAAGTTTTAAAGAATCGTATATTGAGAATCTAGGTATCTTTCGCGTTTTCAACTGTATCCTCCTCGCACAACTTGTATGTTCTAGCCCATCTAAGCAGTGAGCATTTTCTCCATGTTTCACGTGGCATTAAATGGTTTTTTGCAGAGCGCAGCCGTGAAGAAAAAGCCGTGACGGGCCAAGAGACCACCCTGGTGGATTTGCGCAAATACACGAATTACTTCATCCAGGTCGCCGCGTTCACGCAGCGTGGCCTTGGCACGGAGAGCGAACCGGTGTTTTGTCGCACGATGGAAGATGGTAATTGAACATCTTGTTTATTGTGCTTGTTGCGTCCCGTCCGTCAGGGTCACCAGATATGGCTACTTTAAGCCAGATTGGCTACCTTTCAAAGGCCGCGGTGACAAAAAATGACGATGAATACTTGGCTACCTTTGGCTATTGATACATCAGCAGCTAATACACGCTGGAACAATCACTTGATGCAATCGCTTTTTTTTACTCAATATACCACAAGCAATTCGGTGCGCTAAAAACGCCTTCCAGCTGCCATGCTTTTTCATTATTAATAGTACTCAGATAAGTTAGGCAGCACTGTTACGTACGCAGATCTAGCTTTCGTGGACATCAGCGTTTAGTTCACCTGTCTTTCACCACGTGCCGCATGACATTGATCTTTTTATTTACAAGACGCCAAGAAATGCATCGTGGCAAGAAATGAAAAAAAGAAACAAAAAAAGTTCCAGACATTACTTGGCTTGCCACCTTTTGCCGTCCACGGTGACAGAAACGAGACCGGCAAGTTGCCGCATTTAACAGGCTAGTCGCTCCCCGATTCTGTGGCTGCGAAGCGGTGTACAAAAAAAAAACGCTGCCCAACTGCATCGGAAGATCTGAAAAAGCAGCCGGACGTATTGTTTTCTTGTTTGCAGCATCAGTGATATGCAAGCTGTTTGTCCAGTTTCGGACGTAGAGAAAAAGCAATGATTACGCTGGAGTGGTGGCGGCGTGAAGCAAAAGGAAGAACATCTGTGCCTAGCTAAATCAATGTCCCCATAGGCAAGCCTTAGAAAGCCATATTAGCATTGTGAAACCTACTTAGCTAGGCACAACTTGGTTAAAGAAATCAAACAGTAATAAACCTTATTTTGACCGATCTTTTATGCCTAAGCCTGCCGCGCAAGTAGAATGAGTGGAGCTTAGTCTAATACTATTCAAGACTGAGCCTAAGCTTGTGCTAATTCGGTTAACTTGTTAATTACGCTTAGGTTAACATACAATCAACCTAATTAAGATCAAGCTTGAAGATGAAAATTTGGCAAAGTGGTTATTCAGAGAAATGGAGTACTTGGCGCTATGATTGTGAAAGAATTCTCAATTGAACCCGACCGATACCTAGCCAATACTCGTGAAATGCAATGTGATAACGTGAACAATTAGTGCAGGGGCATGTGAGTGAACGTGCGCTCAGTTAAACCTTCACACGCCAGTGCTAACTAGCTGTGTCTGCCCGGCGTTGCACGATTAAGCTAGAGCTGGGCAATTTTTTTACGGTGGCGAAAGGCTCCGTCGATGGCAGATCTTGAAGGAATTGCCATACATTCAGTGAATTGAAAGAACCCTGAATCACTTTTTTTTTTCCAACCCATAGAAGTATTTTACTGGAAGAGCTTATTACCTCACGAATTCAACGCCGTGAAACTTTTATGAGTTCGTCGTTTCTGAGTGGCGTTACAAAGAATTGTCACTCGCTGCGATCGCATTTTCTCTTCTCCCGTCCCGACAAAAGCGCTGGACCGGAGCAAGAAAGATATGTCACGAGGGCGTCGTGACCGTGTTCATGTATTTTTTTTTCTTTGAATTCGAGCATTTTTCAGTTTTATCGCATGCGCTCGCGCGGACAAGCCGCGGCCACCCGCGGCGATGCCTGTAACAACCGAGTGCGCAATGATGAAATCAACCAGTGGCTGAATGACGGGCTTTCTACGAGTGATTTTTGAGCGTGTTGCGTCCTTTCTTGAGAGAACAGGCAGTGATTTTTAGCTGACTCGTCAATTTTTTGTACATTGCAGGCAGCGTGCTGCGCTGTAGTATCAAAGGTGAACATCTTCGACAAATATCTTTCTGACAGGGTGAATTTTCATACTGATAACATAAACTCTCCAGCCAAGTTTTAGTTCAAAAATAAAACCTAAAGACTAAACTGACATAACGGTTCGGGATCGATACGGCTCCTTCTTCACTAATGACTGCGCGGCCAGCTCCAACGCTAGCAATTTTTTTCTAGGGCGGGGGGTGGTGTCACCCTTTTCATCGTTCTTTTTTCCACCATCGCTGTTACCACAGTGTTTTTCTACTGGATCTGTAGTCCATACATGTGTACACAGGGTAAGGTTTCAGTTAAGCGGTTGACATTTCCAGAACTTGTTTGGATGTGGATATGCCAGGAATCTAAGAACTGTCTTTTTGAGTGGCTGCCGTCGTGTCGATGACCCGGGTTTTGTCAAAATTGAGGTATTGGTCCATCTTTTCGCTCTGTTCAACGAGCGCGTTTTGTGCGTCGTTGAAGTTATGCACATTGTTTAGATTTTTCATATCCTTTCAGGGAAGCTTTTGCCTCACTGATGTAGGCGCAGAGCAGTCTGTGTATAGAATTTTGTAGACCAGCCCGCGGAATCTTTCTTTCCACAGTCGGTCTTTTGGTAGCGGCCAGAGTTGCCCAATTTTTCAGACGGGTTCGTGAGCAACCTAATGGCCTCTTTCCCCTGCATCCTGTACAGTTGCTCGCTGATTCCCGGACCGTATGGGACCGAGACGGGGTAGGAATGTTTCAGACAAGCCTCATTGTTAAGGTAACTCATTGCAGGAAGCAGGTGGGGAGCACCTTTGCGATCGCCAAGCCGATGGCATACTCAACGAATAAATCTTTTCAGGTATTCATTGTCCAGAGTCAGTGGTGATCACTTCTTTTTTCGCATTCTTTTGGAGCTGCAGATGACCTGGCGCAATTCAGAAGTGTCTTGA